GGGGAACTCTGCAAAAAACGCATCTTCGCACGGGCAGCCCGTGCGTTGGCCATTTATTTTTTTGTTACAGTCGGCAATGCACATCCTTGTGTTTGCGTTTTAGCCGTCTTTTTATTGTGCCGAATCAAAGTCATTGTGTCGTTGAAATTTTTCAAAAAGCTTAAAATCTCCTTGTTTATTCACTTACTTACTTGCTTACTTACTTCCTTACCTGCTAACTGCTTACTTTGCTTACATAGTCACATAACTGTTTGCTTAGTCTGTTCGGCAAGCAAAATTATCGCCACTTATATATTTTGCAACTTTTCCATTCTTTATTTCGGACTTTTAGAATCCATATAATTGCAAATGATCGTTCGAGTGGATTCTTCCGCCCCTTTTCCCCGTTTGGAACTTTTTGGTTCTCGAACAAAAAATTTGCTTGCCCAGCAAATTTCTGGTTCTGGAACAAAAAAATTGCTTGCCCAGCAAAACTTTTTCAGTATTCCTTTCAGACATCTATATCTGAGAGGTAGGCGCATTTGCTCGTAAGTTTTTGAAACGGGAGGACCAACATGATGTGGAACATAATCTTCAGTTTTCTAGCTTCTCCAGTTGCTAAGTTAAATGCAGGTAACAAGATAGGAACACATACGTCGACACACGAACACCCAGTTAAAACATAAACAATCTCGTGACAATACGCTTTTTCCCATTTGCCATACAAGAAAAACCATCTAAAAGCCTGAAATTTTGGAAACATTATGTTCAGCTGAGATTTAGTAATACCGACCGTTCTGGAAGTTTTCGGAGAAAAAACGCGCGTGAACTAAACAGATGGTGGGTACCAAGTGAAGGCATGCAGCTCTGACTGGATGACCGGCTGTGGTTGGCGTGTGGGAGCTTCCCGGTTACAGCTAATATGGAACCTCTATGTCGTTTTTCAATTTAGGAGAGTCCTGATGTTCTTGGTACTTATGAGATGAACTGGATAAGAAAAGCCAATCGCAGTTAGTGAAACCAAACTGCATACGCATTGGCACGCTCACCAACACATTTTTGACGCATGCGTTGTAGCTTTTCTCACCTTTAGTGCTGTGCGTACGACGATGCTCTGTAAGCGAAAAATGCGACCAAAAGCATCGAGAGCAGTTCAGGCAGCGGAATAAAGCTAGTTCAGGATTAGTTGTCAAATGCTCGAAATAGTGCTGGTCAAGTATTCGGTAATCACTGAAATTTTTGCTGCATCCGTGCCAGTGGCAGCAGTATTTATCATTTTGATTGTGGCTCTCAAGATGAACGCGGAAACTCACGAACGATTTCATACAACGCGTATTTCCAATAAAACCACACTGACATCTCACAGAATCAAACTGCTCCATCGAGTTTACCTCCTTATGCTCAGTTGCTCTATTACTTGGCCCAGGAATCGAATCGGTGTACAGTCCGAAAACAGCACTTGGTTTCGTTGAGTTCATATGTGATGATTCGGCAGCATACTGACTGCTAATAATTTCCGAAATGGCCATGAATTTTTCATTTTTTAAAACTTGATTA